AAGCGCCTCGAGGCTTTGCTATACAGTTCGTGATCTCATCTTCAATCCAACGGACGCTGATACAGCTTATCAGGTAATTGAATTTTTGTACGACTTCTAGCTGATCCCTACCAACGGTCAGCGAATGAGGCGGTCCAGACCAATCTTGGAGGAAAGCTTTGCACTTCGATGGTGCAAAGCAAAGCCCCAAGCTGCTGACAGCCAGTGCCAATCGGTCCAGTGCCGCTTGGCACGTCTGGGAGCTGTCAACAATTAAAGCAATATCGTCAGCATACTCCAAGTCAAGAAGCCGTTCTCCTGGGAGCCGATCTACACCTTCTAAGTCGTGTCCTGTGAACGCGATTTCCATGACTTCTTCAATAGCGAAGTTGAAGAGGAAAGGTGACAGTGGGCAACCTTGTCTCACATCGCTTGAGATACTGAAGGGCGACGATAGCTTGCCGTAAGCCCTCACTCTGCCTGAGCTACGCGAGTATAATGGTCGGATAATATTTACATAGTTCACAGGTACACCTTTCCTGAATAGACAGTTCCAAATTGCACGTTTATCCACCGAATCCAATGCACCTTTGATATCGAGGAATACGACAACGTTGGGCCGCCAATACATGTGACGGTGCTCCGACAACTGACGCAAAGTGAAGATGTGGTCAGAGCAGCCACGACCTTGACGAAACCCCGCTTGCTCTTCACGAATCTGGCTTTCACGAGTGCCGGTCAGTCTGTGAAGGATGACAGAGGCAAGCAATTTGGAGGCGATGGAGATCAGACTGATTCCTTTATGGTTGTCGCATTCCGATAGCCTCCCTTACAAATTGGATCTATGACGGAGCGGCTCCAATCGGTTGCGGCAATCTCCTGCTCCCACAGTTTCACTAGTAACTCGTATAAATCATCCACAAGAGCAGGTCCCCCGAATTTGTAGAGGGCTGAATGGAGAGCAGCTAGTCCCGCGGCTTTGTTCGTCTTCAACAGTGCGATCTCACCTTCGATTTCTGAGCGAGAGGGTGGATCCAAATGGACAGCCTAAGGAGCGTAGCGATCAGTGGACGGCGAGATACCTAACAATTCCGACCGATTAAACTGCCTTTCAAATGCTCATCCCAGCACTCCAAGCGTTTCGACAAGTTGTGGATAGGCTGTCTACTCTCGCCACGTATAGTTTCAGTAACACCAGATCTCCTGCTGCCCGTTTCCGGTATATGCCGGAATAACTTATGATGGTTACCAAGGTCAGCGGCCATTTCCATCTCTGATTGCCCGATGAGACCACCAAGAGTCGCGGACTCTCTTTAGGCTAGCACGGAGATTTTCTCGGAGCTCTTTGCGAATTTCATTGTGTTCGCTTCCAGCCGTAATATGCTGGCAAGCGTCGATAAGTCCCAGAGACTGCAAAGAGACCCAATGTCCATGTTAGTGATTAGACTTCCCACATGAGGATTCGCCTGCTGCTAGTAAGGGCTGGTGTATATGAGATCAGTGAGCTCCAGCTGAATCCAGTGAGTGCTTACTTAACTCGCATGACAGCGTAGTTTAATAGGCATTTGGAACTGCTGGTTTTGCCAGTTGACTGGTGTCAATGCACACACAACGTCGTCTTGGGCGTCAGCCAAAACTCATCCACAGATCGGCACATACAAGTGCATGGTCAATAGTTCAATAGTTCAATAGTGTATGATGGGATAAAATGCATTGGCTTTACAAGACCCATAGTATGGTAAATGCAAAATAAATAAAATTCATTAGATTCCGACATGGAACTGAAAAGCCAATAGTCTAAACCTAGTACATCACACCACAATGTGTTGTTTGTCACTCAGATGAATGTCTAACAATTGTTTGAAGGCTGTAATGTTCGGAGCGTTTACCACATGCATTGGCAAGTCATTCCATTGTGAACAGATTCTAAGAGAGTAAAAATATTTTCTACAGTCTAACCGGGAGTGTTGTATTATCAGCTTGAGGTTATGACTTCTCGATCGCTTATATGAGGCTAGGGTGAGCAGCGATTTTCACGGGTGATCGCTTTCCGTTAATATCCGGTATGCAAGAATGAGATCTCCGCGTAGTCGTCGGTATTCGGAGGAAAACATTCCGATTAAACTGAGACACACTTCATAATTGAGACCAGATAATCCGCGTGTTGCTTTCGTAGCTCTTCGTTGGGGCTGCTCCAAGAGATGAATGTCCCGTTTTAATCATGGGCACCAAGCCTGGACGGCATATTCGACTTGGAGACGGATATAGGAATTGACAAGCATGCGTACCAACCGTGGTTCAAAAACACCAAGAGCTCGCCTCAAAAGTCTCAGATTCATGTTCGCCACGTTTGCCGCTTTCGAATATTGGAGCGAATTCCCCAGACTTTCTTGCACAATGATACCTAAGTCTCTTTCTGTGGTCACTCGCCGTAAAACGTACTGCCCCAAGAGGTACGTGTTGGTAAGATTGCTGCGCAATGACAGTAGGTGACACTTGGCAGGAGTCAGGGGGAGATGGTTTATATCTGCCCATTTGTTGGTTCGATCCAAATCATTCTGGAGGAGGGCACAGTCTGATGTTGAGCGAATAAATCTCCAGATTTTTGCGTCATCTGCAAAATATTGCATTGAGGATTGAATATTATCCGGGAGGTCGTTAATGTAGACCAGAATATGGAGGGGACCAAGGACGGATCCTTGAGGAACACCGCTGGAGATGCAGAGGGTTTCTGAGACGGCATCGGCGACTCTGACCTTGATCGTTCTGTCATGCAAATATGCTGCTAGCCAGGTGAGTAGGGAACCATGGATACCGTAGGCACGAAGCTTATGAAGCAGAGCTAAGTGATTGACTCTGTCGAATGCCTTCGAAAAGTCTAGGTAAATCAAGCGCTTTGGTCCATGAATCCCGAGCAAGAAGCAGATTTGTGAGGCAAGAGCGTTTGCGCCTAAAGCCGTGTTGGAGGTGAGAAATTAGCTTCAGACTCACAAAATATCGTGTAATTTCTTCCGCAACTAACGATTCTATTACTTTTGATAAAACAGAGAGGAGAGTAATGGGTCGGTAGTTGGCAGGATCCGATCGCTTACCTCCTCTGTATATCGGAGTGACTATCCCGCTTTTCCACTCAGACGGAAGTGTTTGGGAATTGAGTAGTGTTCACACATGTGATCCAAATCGAACGACAGTTCTGGTTGCAGTCTCTCCAGCGGTAACTTATCGCAATGTGATCGATCTGCGTCCATAGCTGGTTCGAAACTGGTGGGCACCAAGTCACCCTCCGGCTGGTGCTTTGTCGGATATTATTGTTTGCAAGAAATAAGCGAGCATCTTCACACAAATGAAGTAACCGCTCACCGTTATCATTACGGGAGCCTACACCATGTTGGCCGCCCAGATGCAGTTCAGCAGTGGATAATTTTCCAACTTGAGCGTTCAGATCCCCAGCCAGCACAACAGTGTCCGAGATACTTCTGTGGCGAAGGAGCTCGTTCAGTTGGTGACATAAGTCGTCTTTTACCGAATCATCGCTAGAGTTTGTGGGTGTGTTGGCAGCGGTGACGAATAAACACCTGTTAGTCCCGCGAGACTTGGAAGCTTTGAACGAGCCAGCCAATCGGACCGCACTCAACCGGAGCAGCTTCATTCTGGGGACTTAGGGCAATACTAACACCGGCTTGGCCGGTGCTCGAAGCTTCATCGTCACCGGATAGGTGCAATGAGAATGTGCTGCTGGTGTCACCTGAAAAAGGACGCATAGTGAACAATGAGATGGTGTATTGTAAACGGGGTTTCTCATAAGCAGCAGATATTGATCGAGAGGGTCTCTAATGTTTGGGCAAGTGCTGCCTGTTGACCGATTTGTAGCAATGTGCGTGCATTGAGGCATGCTAATCTGAATGATGAGCGAGAATGTTTACATAGCTTAAATCAGATATATATATATATATATCTGCAATTACTAAACAGGAATGTGAGACGCGACCCTAGCAATGGTATCCAAGCCATGCTAAAGTACTGTCGTATTTCTTTAAAGCAGCTTAGTAAAAGATTAACTGGCATCTTTTTCAATATCAAAGACTACATACTTTTGGCCTCCATGGTGGGTATTATCTCTGAACTTATGGTTAACATGACAGCTACATATTCGAGTAATATGTGCTTTCGCCTGATGTAACCTCACCATAGTATAACATTATTCATCAAGTAATAAGTTTGCAGAATTGTATATTCAATTTGACGATTGCAAAAACTATGTCATACATTTGTCAGCCGTTTGGACGAATTCAATGCAAAATTTATCGCCTGTAACAATCTTAATACCATTTCTGCTGCGATCACTACAACAATTACCACTACCGTTACACACTGAATATATCACCTCAATAGACGACAAAATAGCTGCAGTTCAATTGCTCAGCTCGGCAAGCAAACTAACTTTTCATCTTAACTTTTCATCTAACTTTTCATCTTAACTTTAAGCAGCTAACAGGGCAATATTTAACTCAACCGACATTAGAATCAGCACAACTAGCTTCAAGGAGTTACCTTGCTTCAGCAAGCATGATCTATGTGCCTTTGGTGATCCTGTCTAAGGCAGCCTAACAGACCACTAGTCGGTCTATTTTGTGTGACCAGTGTCGCGAATACCGCTATCAGCTCTTTGTCAACCACTTAATTTTGGGTAGTCAGAGTCCTACAATTGTCGTTAAACTAAACCTGATAAGTCATTTGTGTTCTAATCTGCGGCAAAGCATTTGCCACATTTTCATTTATCGATGACCACGCCTAGTCTGCTGTGATAACCTATAATAACTATTGTGCTGTTTAATTCTGGCCCAGCAGGTTGGTTAAATGGACTGATTGAAAATGTTTACACCTTTTGGCTTTTGTGTTATTAAACAGACTAAACATCCAACCATCTTGCAAAGCACAGTAGCTTGGGAGAGAACTAGTCAAATTTGTTGATTATGTAAATCACCTAGCTGTCTGCTTCTGTTTCTTCCTTTTGTTCAAAGTGCAAACGTATCATGCGTTGAAAGTCAGTTGGCGCACCTATCCAATTGGGTTCAGAAGCTACAGAAATTGCCAGAAGATCCTGCCGACTATCCAAACCAGCGCTGCCTGACAGACTTATATCCACAGACGGAAGTGTCAAATAATGAGAATAAAATGTCTGAATGGACATCTAACGACAAAATCGGTTCCAGAAATGTTACTGCTTTTTTGACCAAAAGCGGTAGGTTTCGTCTCCTTTAACTGTGGGCTGAATGCGAGTGGAAGGTTATTGTTTTCTTGCTTGATATGCATCTTGACTGGTTCGCCGGACTTGATTAAACGTCTGCATACGTATCCCCAACACACGGTATGGCATAGTCACTGCGGGTATATGCATTGGGCAGACATTTAATCAAGCCCGGAGAACCAAACAACTGATGAACACTCAACCTAGGCAACCAGTGTTTCAAATAAATTCGAATATCCTGATATTGTTAGATTGCACGTGAACACAGTCAAATTCCCCAACCTCTCACAAAGACGTCGATCGTGGCGTATTTACTTCATGACGATGCGGGATGATAAGTCTCAAGCCTAATCACCAACCTCATGCACACGTAGACTCATGTAAAGCCCAAACGGCCTAACAGTATTTGGATTCATTTTGAGTATGTGAGTGTGGTGGAAAGCTCTGTGCGCGTAACAGTCGAGACGATCACTTTCGGTATTTGTGGTAATTCGCCCCAGTAGGCACATTTTATCAACATTCCGTGAACACTGCCTTACTGTAAATCTGGTAAGAAGATTAAAATTACACTTTATATATATATATTGATATTTGGGCCTTTACATGATACTGTGCAATAGGTGGTGTTAAATGTTAGGTGGTTGAACCGGACAGCTTACAGCTAGGCAAAATGCGCTAACGGAGGTTTAATAGTAAAAAACCATAGGCTATGCAATTAGTGGTGGCATCAATGAAATGAAATGCTGCAAACCAGTAACGTAAGGAATTAAAATTTGCAAAAAATGAGGAACATAAACGGAAGCAAAGATGCGGTGTGTTTGAAGGTTGTAAGTGTACGAGAGTATAGAAAATGCGCCCGGTAAAATTATTTAAGTTGGCACACACATACTATGTTTATTTATATAGATTTCGTAAATTAGCACCACAAATAGTGACCGCCGTTAATATCTCCAAATTGGAAGTGGTTTTTAGCATGTACAATAAGTTGGGATAAACCCGCACTCGACTTTATGAAATATCTATAAAAAAGACTAAATAAGTAACAATATGCCTAACTGCACATATTACCTGGAAAGCAGTGCGTTATATGTCAAGTTACCAAAGGAAATATGTTGAAAACACAATGGTATGCAAAATAGTAGCCTTTCATTGATATAATGATAAAATAGGAAAATGCGGCAGTTCCACACATTCTGCTGTAGTCAGAGTATCTCAAACATCAAAACCAAACAATTGACAGGTACTTGATTTTAACTCTTTCAGAAACTGAATTGCTTAAATATGTTTCTACTGGACAGCTTCCTTGGGGGGCAACCACTTATCATCACTGTCCGATATGGCAAGATTGATTTCATTACAGGATTCTGAACCACGCTTCCTCTTTTCTGTGGAATCCTTCCTTATCTGAGTATACGAAACGGATGGTTTATCATTGTCTAAAACGGTTAAAACCATATTGAACATATGCACTTCATTTAACGGATGTCTTTGTAATCGTGTGATTATAGCTGCCCTTGCGAAGACATCATGAAGCCGTTGATCCTTGATATCTTTCTGACTATGTGGACTGGATGGTGTCCCTTTGTCCAAATCACTTTAATGCTTATGATCCTTTTTTAGTTTTATGTAACCTTCTCCGTGATCCTGTGACTTTTTCTACCTTTCTAGCTTCTTGCTGGTCCATTCGCTCCTCACTTTTCTGAGCAGACAACCTTTTTCCATAATGTCTTTTAATTGCCTTTCTCTGAGTTATAGATGTTTTGTTTCAGGAATGGTGAAAGCCTGTTGACAAAAATGGTATCTGGTCGAGTTTCCTTAATCGCTGTGCTTCTCAGCATGAGATTCATTACTGGATGTGGAAATTTGAGAGAAAGCTGCTTCTGTCGTCATGGCAGAATCTTTCGAGTCAACTGAAATGGCTGACTGATTCAATTCATTGTTGTCTTGTATGCCCACAGTTGTGCGGCTTGCGTCGTGAGCTGCTAATGTTGATTGAACGCTGCCCACCTGTTCTGCAGATTCATGTAGAGAGATGGAATTTTGGAAGGGTCAAACGATATGACGCCACATTTGCTTACTTCGGATTAAATATTTGCTTTGCTTAGACAGTCACTTTTTCATAACTTCTTCAGACGAATAGAAAATATCTCTTTGGATAAGGCTGTGCCTAAGTTCTGCCTGGCAAATTTATTAAGCATTTTTCCCACTCTGTCTTCATTGGTCAAGAGACACCCACATCAAGAGGTTGAAGTATGTGGGTTGAATTTAATGCGTTACATAATTATATTCTCATTTTGAATTGCTGCTCTAATGACTTTAAAATGCATATGTGGAGCATGGCCATCAGCAATTAACAGAACTGGTCTACTTTCTGATAGAAATAGGATGCAGTGGTTTATAAACCAGTCCCTAAAACAAGCACTGTCCATCCAACTATTCTATCTAGCGTTATCAGGTCCATGTTGCGTCCAAGAAACTTAACTTTTTGGTCCCATAAAGAATATAAGTGAGAACCATTGTTCCATCAACCCGAGCACTTCCTTGCACTGTAATAAAACTCTTCCTGAGCCAAAAAGGACACGAAAGAGATTTTTGATCCTTCTTTTACAAATCACTTTCAATCGTTAAGGGCCGAGGGAAAAGACACTCTCATCAACGTTGTAAACTCTTTCGGTCATATTCATAATTCCGTTGATTGTAAGGATTCCATAAGGCAGCTGAAACCACTCTTCAAATGTCTATTTGCAGCCAAATAGACTGTTGATTTTTTAGCTGCTTTGGAGTTCGGCATGTCAGATCCGGATGTCTCTTATAAAACTGTATAACTAATCTCGACCAGGAACATTCTTCTGAAAAGGAGCAGTTCTATCTTCACCAAGAAAAGTAACAAAAGCACTCAAAATTTCCAACGCTTCTGTGCATGTGAAAACAAACACCCACTGGGCAATAAGTTGTTAACAGCTGGAAAGTTCTCCTTCTGCTTCAGTGAGAACTATTTTTCTACCTGATCCCATTTTGCTGTATTTTCCTTTTATGTAATCTCATATTGTCTAATTTTTAAAGTTGTACAAATTGGCAGCTTTCTTGTACGCAATGATATCTTATCTAACTTGAGCAACGACTTGGTCCATTGCCGCTGTGTCATATGCTGCCTTTTTTACGTTTGTAGTTTCGAACTATTCTGAAACTTAAATAGGAAGTCTATATTAGACAACTTACAAGCAAAAAGCTAAGAAATAAGCATAGATTAAATGCACACAAGCTTTTAATTTTAAGTGTGTAATTTCACCAACCTGCTAGTAACTTGTCACTCACGAACATAAAACCAGTCCATGAGACACATAATTTAAACGTGAACAATTATTACCACTGTAACCATATTAATCTCCATTACTGGATTGCTGGAAATATAATGAGTTTCAAAACAAGTATGGAATTTTAAAATGTGTAAGATGTCTGCTTACAGGCAGATGACTCTGCATTGCTCGTGTATTCTATATCTCAAGCCAAACACTTGTACATGGTAGTGATTGTATGTAAACGGGAAAATTGTTCACTAAATAGATGGTGTCTGCATTAATCAAAACAGTCTTCTATTTAGGAATAATGTATATAACTGGAAAAGTGTGCAACTACCCCCGGTGCGGGATTACCCCAACTTACTGTACATTGGAATACCAATGCTGTTCGTTTCACTGGTCCTGGTCGGGCACAAATCACCCACTAGACCTTAATACGTACACAAGCCCGAGAGACCAGCAGTTTAGGTTGGCCAAACAACATGGTCGGTTTGAATTCCATCGGAACTTATCTCACCTTCAGTGTGCCAACCGTAACTTGACTATCCAACTTCTGTGAATCCTGCTTCTAAATGATCCAGGTTCAACAGTTGGTTTGTTGGCACAGTCCTATCTTTCTCACGTGAATAATCCCAAGTCCACCATGTCAACACTTAGGGTAATCAAACGGTCAGCTCAGTTAGACTTCGCATTTGTTCAACGACATAAGCTATTCTTACGAAACACCAACATTTCGGTTTTTGCTTCTCACCTACAGAACCCGATGAGTCTGTTATTTCAAGTGTGTTAGAAATGTAAATCACGGAAATCAGGCCATTTATCACCTGTGAGCATCGTTAGCGCCAAGAAAATCGGTGCACACAGGCGTTGTAAACTGTTGCGTTATGGAGATGAAAGCACTTTCACACGAAACGTATTTGAATACACATGATTGACAGGAAGGCTGATAACAAAGGATATCGCAATTTGTGCACTTTTTCTTGCAGCGGCGAATCCGGAATTTTCTTGCGAAACTGATCTTGACGGCAACACCATCCCTGCTCGTCACCGTGGAACTGAAATGATCAATACTAATATCGATGGCTCCAAAGAATTGTACGCTTCCCGTGTGATTGCACCTGGTTCTCCAGTAACCCAGCCCATATTGGCTTGTCTTCAAGTGACTCAAAATGAGTTAATTGATGTTAAAAATGAATTACGAAGCCTGCGAAACTTACATGCTTCAGCAATGCTGAAACAAAAAGAGGCGATCTCAGAAGTAATGCGCAAAATACAAGTAAGTGATCAGGCGAAACTAAATCAGTACGTTGCAGCTAAAGTGAATGTTTATGTCAAGCAACTACCAGTTCTTTTACCTATGCTGACTTTAGTTTGAGATGCAAAGAGAATAAAGCTGCACGAGTTCCAGTGCAAGTTGGACAATCCAAAACGGTTCACATCAGGTGGAGAGGAGGTGATTTAGGCACGCATCAGTAGGTCAGGTCTTATGTATTCAGAAAAGAATGAACAAAACTCTGTGATCTTTTATTTCGATACGCATATGAATATTCACATAAGGTAACTTGAAAGCTGACTCATGACTTTAAGTAAAATCCGGAAGTGATTCTGCTATTTGGGTTCTGTGATATCAACAAGACCACCTCATAGTGATAATCAGTAGAACATAAAGTCTTGCCTGATGAGCAAACAATCAAAAATTGTCGAACAGTCGGGTCTCACTCCCAGGTAAATCTAGTTTCATATTCTCCCGTGTATGATATTCCAAACAAAAGAAGTTTTAACTGATTCGAGCATTCATTAAATGCGTGTTCAGAGTTATCGTGAATTGCGACACTGATGTTGCCTCAAGTATGCGTGCCAAGCAACCATCCCAAAGACCGACCGCTCGCTGCCCGAAGCATAGGAGGTGGGAAACTCAATGCAGGTCCAGTTTCGCAGGCATAGACAGCTGTCCAAGTCTGGTGCACTAGCGCCAGAAGTGGAGCAAAGGCATAACTACGTTGACACCGAAATGCAAAATATGGTATGCCACAAACAGGCCAACTAGAACTCGACGACAGGTGATGACATACAGTCCCAATTTTTCACACCGTCCTTCATACGGTAAACCTCGTAATATGAAGATAGGTTGGATCCTTGTGACGTGCGCTTCGCTGGCTAGTGTTAGCCAAGAAGCTACAGAGCGTAATTAGACGGTGGATTTGTGTTTAATATCATGCAAATATCTAAGCCCTGTGTGAACTAAAGTTCTGGCACAGTCTTCGTTAATTTTTCTATTTTCATCTCTAACCATCCAACGGAACTCACTGAACATTAACTTTTTACCCGTTATATTACATTGTTCCAAGTCATACTCCAGCATTGGTCTCATACTGGAAGATAAAATGTAAGTATCTACTTCGTGAGACCCATATCAAAGTTGTGTATGAGCTCCCAATGGATGCGCATCAATTCTTGGTATGGACTACTCGCGTTATGAATGGAATTTGAATGCGCAATTTGAGAATACGCCTAGCTCCTTCAAGGTAGTCACAGAATATACCCGTTAGCCCCCGATGGAGCAAGGTACAACTGATACTACCGTTCCTAAGGTTCATGAATAGCAACCGGTTTGAATTAATCAAGAGACGGAGTTTCGCCCTACACCTGAAAAAACGATTGAGGTCTTGCTGAAATTTGTATTGGCAGTCAGGGTCGTTTATTGCTCTCCTTCTTCGGTCTTCTGCACAAAAGACACACGGTGATCGGAGAACTTGGAGTACATATTTGACATACCTTATGTATGGAATTGGCCCCCAGAATTGTACCTTGAGGTATATGGCAGGTGCACGATACCAGTTACATGACCATCGACTTGTACATTCACCTTCGTTCAACGTCATAATAGTTTATTCACTGGTGCTGTGCATCGCCAAAGTCACATATTCTTCGCTTCTAAAGGAGGGCTTGATGGTGCACCTAATCGAACGCCCTAATGAAGTGAATGCACGTATCCTCGACAAACCCACTTTTGTTCATGTCCGCAACCATTCGTGTCTCGTCACGAGTAAGTCAGTGACATAAACCAACGTTTAATGAAATCGCGGTACTATGGCTGCAGAAGGACCGGTGAGCATGCAGCGGATTCTGTACGATTTCCTCGACTAAAATGGAAGAAATGCCCATGAAATCGACCGGTGTTTGCTCAATGCATTGGATTATCTGCGTTTGGGTGCCGAATTACCCACGGAGTATTCTCCACCGATTGGCAGTAAGCTTTCAGAGAGCAACTTGTGGAACAGGTCGTTCCCAAAAGCGGGATAAACTCTGCTAACGAGTCGAGAGTCAGAAACTGAACCCACACAGGCCCGCCAAGGTTGGTGAATATTAGGTACACTTCATCAATAACAAAAATCATACCTTCAGTGTCATCAAGAGCAGTACACGCTGAACTCGATGAAGACACCCTTTCATTTGCAACTACGGAACGGACCTGTGCCGCTTGCTCATCGTCTCGTTCAGTGCTAGATAGTATTAGCTGGCCGTCGCAGTCTTCTGACCCTGACAAGTCCCTTGAAAGCTACAATCGTCAGTTAACGTAAGCATCCATTCTCTTAGAGACACTCTGCGGGGGTTCCAGTGCGCTCTTCTAAATGGCAGTGCTAGTACCGTGACCCGTTGTGGATACTTCGCTGCTTCTTACATGACATGAAATTTGTCAACATAGGCATATTGTATGAACCAATATCGCACCCGGCCGCTCTGATTAGCTGTTTAAGACAACCTGTGCGTCCCACTTGGCAGACCAAAATGGTAAGGTCGTAGATATGGTGTAATGGTCGCCAGACACGAGGTGATCACACGACGCAGAGTACTGATATTTTTTCGTTTGCGGCGACATTCTTGATTCTTGTCCCTTCTCTTCCGTTCCCTGTTTGCCAATAGGAGCATCAGATTGTGCGAGAATACTCTAGATCAACCATTGCGATTACTCTCCTTGATTTCTGGATAATGGTTGGATTGAATCCGTTAGGGTTCATATATCCTGCTGCTCCTAACAAGCCAGAGCAGAGGAATTAGTAATATATCCCATCCTTCGAAATAAGGTCCATCGACTGATATGACTTCCATTTATTTGGACTTTACATATGAAACTCACAACGACTTCCATCGTGCGTTTATAAGGGACCAACAGGTTTCAACGTACGCAGCCTACGGCAGCTACCAATAAAGTTGACTAGGATCAAAAGCACCCATTTATAAAATTTTTATTGTTGTTGCTTTGACAATGATTCCCGTGTCACCAAATTACATAAGATGTGGTTCCAGATTGCTGAAGTTAGTTTTAGTCTGAACTAACAGTTCCGTAACTTGCTGCCAAAAGAAATTCGATTGGAGGAAGCAGGGCCACGGCTACAGGCCACTGATAACAAAATGTGGGCGGCAAACTCAGGGAAAATGCCCGTTATGGATTCCGGTGCAGCGACTAAGCTAACAGCCGTCACAACATCCGAAGAGACACCGCGTGATGCGAGTGACGATGAGGGATACCTTGACCTGGAATTTCTGTTGCAGCAAAGTATTCCAACGCCATCTCGACAGCCGGTGACTCCACAAAATCTAGTAGGAGCCGACCACACGAGGGTCGGCCAAATCTCAAAATTATCGTCTAAACCTTTTACTAATAGTTTAACGCATAAAGCACTCTTTTGTTTTCATAACAACACACAGAGCCTTTTCAGCAAACTGACAGATCGGCTGCGTCAAGCTTTAATGTCGGGAGACCTCATAATGTTAACAGAGACCGTTGAGTGAAGCTATCAGTAACGCCAAAATCATACTAAGCCGATGTCCATTCTGAGCACCGACAGAGGGAATTTACAAGGAGGTTATCCAGACGACTTCTTGATGAGTTGCGGGCTTCAACAATGTGGAAGTATAGAATCGTCATTCCTTCTGGTCATTCCTTCTGGTGTTCTCCAAATTTATGGTGTCTATTATTGCTGAAGCGCTCATTAATTTTTTGAATGATGCAATAGCCCAGCACCAGGATAACATGGATTCTGTCAGAACTTGTCTTGCACCACAAACGTGCTACTAGCTCGCTCCAGTTGGACTGAAACCATCGACGACTGGGTGGGTATTAACACAGGTTATCCGCACTTCACCAAGGCGTTCGACAGTCTGAACGATCTCATCAGGTCAAGATAATCCACACACATGATTGACGTTTTGCACCCGGTTCATTTGGATTATTCCTCTCCATCCTCTCTTAATCCTCTAGCACTCCTCCAATGTACGTTTATTCGAACCGGATATACTAGCCCTACACAGTGATGCATCATAGGTGGAATTTTCTTCTACGAGTAAGGTTTGTGCCATCACTAAAGGTTTTCAACTTCATCCGTGATTAAGCGCAAGTGGATAAGGCAATCACATTGAGGCGATTGTCTCTCTGTGTGACACCATTCGATAAGGAATTTGCGAGAAAGTCCGAAAAGCCTATGCTTATTCCAATCCGGCGTTTCTCAACGCAGTTGTAAAAAACTTTGCGATCTCGCAATCTGTTTTAAACGCTGTGTTCAGATTCAGTTAGCAGGTTCCAGTCACTCGCCATTCCTTGTGAACTTGTCAGCCAGTGTGCTTGCACAACCCGCAACACGGAGCGCGCAACCACACCGATCGCTCATTCGACCGTTCAACCATAACGCTCGCCTGACCGATGTGCGCCGCTCTCAAACCTGGAAAAGTACAGAACGCTAACCAACCCACTGGGTTAGGTAACTACACAAGGTTGAATGACAGAAATGCGAATCCAAAAAGACTAAAAGCAAAATGCATTTACGGGTTAGGAGAATGTCATCGATTCTTTAAAATAGGTCTGGCTTTCTCTCACTGTTTGGAATGGCATCATCCAAAATTTGCAAACGTGTCCCAACTAGAGGTACTAGAGCGAAATAGCACACAAGATGCGCTTTATTTCTGTACTGAGTGACCCACTGTTCTAGTTCAGAAGTGCGACCGGTTAACCGAGAAGCCGAGCATCCAGTGCAATGCGCTCTGATTTAGAGGCAAACTGTTTGACGCCATCAGCATCATGGCCCACTAGAGTGCAAGGGATCAGTAGGTTAACCAATACCTCTGTCAGCAAGGATGTGCCCGCAATTGACCGAAATTTCCGAGATACCTTTTAGGCACTGGTGTTATTCTGGCTGATTATGAAACGTCAGGAATGGTGCCACTCGTTAAGCACCGAAGCATGGTATCGGTCAGTTTAGTTAAAACCTATGTGCATTCTTTCAGAGCGACTGCTGATAGGGCATTTGGTCCACTAACCTTGTTTGGCTTCAGCTCTGTGAGCTCCTTGTAAATACTTGAGGAATCAAATAAACTAGGAAGCTCAATAGTGGTGAAAAAAGGCAGAGGTGTGGGAAGTGATGGGGAACTGAACTCAGCACTGAGTTTATCCACTTCTTCGGTGATGAGTGTTTTTGAAAACATTTTCCCTAGAGTTGTCTTACAGGCCTTCACAGATCACGGCAACGGTGGTTGCCAAAAGCGATCTGATGGTACAGAGAGTTTATCCTTTTTATTTCAGCTTTTATAGCTACAGACAGACGTTTCACACGATCGGTTAACTTATGTTCATAAACCAGTTCTTTTGCTTCCCAGTTGCTTGAGTAATAGAGATGAAAACTGTTGTTTCGCTAATTCATTGTCTCAATGCGGAAGCACAGATCAAAACGGAAGTTTATCTAGTCTGTGAGGTGCTTTCATTGAGCTGACAAGGCATCAGTTGTGAAAATTGAAAAATCAGTTGTGGACAGTATGGATTTAAGTTTTTCGGTCTTATATACTAAGCAGTTGTGTCGTTTAGCAGCTACGGATTATATTTTTGTCAGCGCAACATAGTTCACCTTAGGTATAAATGGGGACATAGATTTACTGGGTAAGTGGTGTATGCATTTGTACAGTAAATAGTTCGAGTTTGTTACTAAAAACAAAATCTAGATGCACCTGGAGTCTGGTGGGGAATTTCGCAATTTTGGCTAAACCCATGTTGTCAATGAAAGCTGTGTCACTACTAGTAAAGTCGCCGGTGAGAACGCAGATGGAACATTCTGATTTTGGCTGAAATTCTAAGGTAAGGTGGCCTGCAAATCTTTTCAGCTCGAAACGCTCTGTGTCCGTATTCAGTTACACGTTCCAGACTACGCGAGTTAGAAAAGCGTTCAGAAACCTTGATTTACACTACAGCAAGTGACAGCTTACCAAAGTTCCTGAACACTCCGAGAGATTTGAAATGGATTAATGTAAATGGTGACATCTCCACGATGTTCGCATTATCCTGGGCGATCAGGTCTAGGGTGGTGGTAAACCTTAAGATTAACGACTTCATCATCAATATAAGAATGCAACCATGTTTCCTGCAACATCACTATACTTGCATTTATGGATTCTCTTCGCTATAAAATGTTTGTCAGATCCTCAATTTCACAGAGAAGCGATCGTATATTGTTAGACAGCATCAGTAGAATTCGCGCCCTTTTAACAGGATAGTATTTGTCCTACTTACCAGCCAGCAAGATGTTTTTTCCTTTTTCCTGAGTCTTTCCTGATACAACTACTGAACGATTTTCCGGTCATGTGTCCGAACTCAACAAGAGGCGATTTTTGCCCATTATCTTAAAGGTTAATCAAATATTCAACCAAATATGATAACTTGATAACTATGGAGTTGATTCACTTAAACAAAGAATAAAATAATTCCTGTCAACAAAGAATTCGCAATACGTGGTGTAACATAAGATTCCGATGGTAACAGTAACAGCCAAATTTGTAGGCCCCGCCAGCTTTAGAGAACAAACTTAACAACGAATAGAGGGTGAAAGCTTTTTGTTACCTTCAGTGCAACTGGGCTAATAATTTCCATGTGTTCGATAAGAAATGCTAACTGAATGCGAATGATAGTTGTACCATCGCTGCAAAAATAATGAACAATACAGAATTTGTTCTAAAAGGGGAAATTTGCAGTCACTTGCCTTGAAACAGCGCTGCGTCAGAATTCTTTCTAACCGGACATCTAAACCAAAAGATGTGGTTTATTTCATGTTCGCCGTTGGCGTGCTCACGTGTTTCATATCCTGTGTGAAACAATGTCAAGAATTCGGTAAATCACAGCGTTAGCAGACAGTCATATTCGCAGTTGCCTCACAAATATCGTACACAGTATGACCATAAACTCACCCTATACCTCCTTGGAGTCACATGTCTTTCCCGAATTTGTCTGCAAACTTGACAGCTGCCATTTTTGTTTGGCATACTAATGGGTTTGGCATCGCATTAGCCGAACTAGACACACAACATTACTGCGTGATAACTAGAGTTTATTTGTATGTCTGACATGTCCCCTGCTTAGCCGGGAGTTGCTACGTAGCAACTTAGCTGGCATCGTTTTCGATTCTCAATAATTTAGTTAGAGAAGCAGTTGCGGTTATTTGTAAGGTTTCTATTAACTTAAATGAGCTTCCCTGTTAGTAAGTAAAAAGTGGAGTGTAAAGCATACATAGTGAGAAAAAATGATTGCAAAAATGCTGGCGACCAGAATGTACGGCTCCACAAGTGCTATTGTCTAAGAAATACCGCACCTTGGTGATTGATGTGGTTTAAATCTAGGTAATTCTCTAAAAGACATCCAAAATTTCAGGGGAGGGCCTACACCGTGTGGTCGTTGTCTCGTCACATAATTCATGCAGATAGGAAATTTGTAACCTAGAAGGAGTTCAGAGATTCCATTTGGCGTCAGTTCTGTTGTTATGCAGATAAAATTTCTGAATTCTCTCAGGCCACGATAATCTGCAATGAAAAGCTGGATATGAGTCCCCTTCAAGCTGCGCGAGCGGAGCTGAACACAAACCTTTCTGTTTACCGGAGAGGAGCTGAAGAAATTCACTTGTGGCTTCGTGATCTGGATAAGACAATCGAAGATCTGCGCATAACTGCACTTTCCAAAAGATGTAGAGTCAGTCAAACTGAAGCAGAGGTCTTAAAACTGCAACTGAGTCGCGTAAGCCTCAGTTTACTAAATTTTAAAGGTCAGTCTATGAATTTACAGTTGTTTTTTGTCTTCGAAAGTTTGTAACTGGCGCCGTCTGCGCATACACCTTTGTGTTTAGCATTTTATCGACCCATCGTTCCCACTGAAACATAGGGTAATACTTGCGAATACGAGTAAGCAAACTCCTTTGTATAGAGAGGAAGATTTTGATGTTGCTGTCTCCTATCCCTGCACTCCACATTGAACTCCTCGAGTAGAGCTTGACACCTCGGTTAGAGATTGAGTTTCGGGATTTGGAGCTCCAGTTGTGCTGCTTAGATTGCGACATGGAATCTCAATTATGGCCTCGGCTGACTTTTTATAGACTAAAGCAGATATAAGTGTAATAAAAAATATCAAGTTTGGACCGAAGTTCAGCGGAATTCAAGGAGTGAGCAACAACTTAGTGTGGACTTTCCGCCGGAGCCGTAGTACCGCAACTGAACTAGCAGTGGTTTTCTAATATCCCTCAAGTAAGTGCGATACTGTTGTGTGCTGTTTGGCCAAATATTGCAAATAATCAGTGTACCACATATAAACATTGTGTGCTGATTTACTGATGTCAGAAATGCTTTCCGAACTCAGACAAAACATGATAGCTAGGGCTGCATGAATGGATAGAAAATTGACTGCTGTATGGCTTTTACCAGTGCTCATATCCGATGTAGGAACACGGATACAAAAAAGATCCAATGAATTGACACTTTCAATCTACGGGATCAGGTTGGTTTGTTGAGAATTCAACACAGCAACGCAACTAGCGTTTGTGATTTGGCTTTCGATAAGCCTTCAAGAGGTTGCTAACGTCAAGCATGGATAATAGTACCTAAACTAAAGTGGATGACGAAACGTAGGATGTGGAGGTAGTAAACTGGTTTTGTTATAAAATTAGCCAGACTATGCCCTCAATAACGATCTATTTTGTCGAGTCCCAGCGCGAAAGTGGATCACTCTGATTAGAACACACTGGACTAAATGTTGTATCTCTTATTCTTAACGCCATATGCGTTTACCTTTTCTCATAAAGTGTGGCAAGCTGCTTCTAATTGCTCTTTATCCTGACAGTGTTGAATAATTGTATGCAAATGCATAGTCCTGATAGTTGAAACACATTTAGTAGAGCTGTAATCTCTCAGAGACTTATAAGATAGCGTAGGAATTTTGTTGCTCATCTCTCACGAACTAACCCTTACGTTGGAAAGTCACTATAAACAGCATCATTAAAGCGGAAAAGTAAATTGTGAGTGATGTTCCAACTTCGACTTAACTACGTGAAGAGCTAGTGGTATATCTATTCTCAGCACTTGACGGCGCATTCGTAGCAGACGTTTAAAGGTCTTGTCAAGTAGTACCTGTAGCGACTACTTGCGTACTCGCATTGAAAGACGAAATGGAAGTAAGCAAATAATTAGATGAAACACCACTCGGCGATTAACCTTTACAATGTTATACACCTTACCCTCCGTTTGCGTTCAAGATCTTTAGAATGAGGTTCACTTTGCTATGTTGTTCACATACGTTTATTTAACGGTGCTGATGCTATACCTTAAAGCGTTTTCATTTTAGATTATCTCCCGAACATCAATGAACTGTTCAGAACGGTGGCGGATGCGGAGCTCAAAGTGATTCAGAACAACAAAAAGTAAATCCACGAGCTACCCGGTTGATTTATGATTGTCAATTGAAAGAGCAGTATCTAGACATATGATGGATCAGTAAGAGATTATTTAGTCCTATGTAAGTTGCAGTGGAGTAATGACTATTGGCTAGATGTTAAACAAAAATCATGTGAAGTTGTCCCACTGAACAAACCAAGCAAAAAGCTATGGTGTTGTCAGGTGTATTGTATGTAAATTTGACTCTTCATTCGCACTCCATTTGGTGATAGTGTGATGATTTCAAGATAAGGCAATCGGAATCGCGCTATGTTGGTTTTTTGATGAGACCAAGATGCAAATTTTTACGCAACAGAACTTACCGCGCAATTCAGAATCGCAGGGTTTTGTTCGCATAGTGGACATGGTATTTGATTTTAGAAGAGCTACACCTCAGCTAACAAAAGGCTTCCGATGAATATTAAAAGTTTACCCTTTTTAACTCATAAATTATACCAATGTTACTACAGTCAGACGGAGTCACCTTATATCGGTTGTACCACTGCAAGCGGTGTGTCAGATTAGGTCACTTGTTCAACGACTGTTCAATCGTCTGTATCAGTGGCCTCTCAAAATTTTGCTCACCTTAAAGCGATCTCGCAGGAACTGAAAGCATTTATTACAAAACGATCAACCTAAATGTCCTAATCCCAATTTCTGTGTGAAATTAGCAACCCCTGAAATGTTACGTTTTTGAGAATAAGTACGAATGCGAAAACGATTGCAAATATGCAAAAGTAGATTAATTTTACCCCCACCCAGTTTTCCCAAATTAATTCTTAGAATCTGAGCACAATTCAGCATGATACACTGAAAGTATCAAAGTATTTTACTTACTCGTACCGCAGTGGTACTTATAGAAGACTGAGTTATCAAGGACCAGTCGATTACTAAAGAAGCTGCGGGAACGCAAGCCGTACGTATATCCTTGACTGGTCACTCAGTCTCACTTTACCAAGTCATCTAGCATTAAACTTGATGCTTCACCAAAGCAAGTACGATAAAACCGATGAAGATACACCGAGTTATTAATCGGCACGTTTACCACAAACAGATCAGAGAGAGTATACGGTTCCAGTTCACAATTCCGTAAATAGGTATTTGGGGATAGAGGTGAACAAAACGAATGGACAAAAACGTAAGATTCGGTGGTCAGAGACGGTTGATAATTTCGCAGCCTTATGAAGCGAAATTGGTGGCGCAGTTACGAACACACAAGATGTGGAGTACAAATGTTGCACACATAATGTCTTTGAGAAACAAGGGAAAAGTATGTTTTCCACATGGGATGTTCAAGAATATGGAACCGAAAAAGACATCACTTATGTGAATATCAACATACTTGCTGCCTTCATCATCAAGGGTGATTCATCTATGTTTCTGAGCCGCCCGGGCAACAGCACCGGATGATCGACGATGTCAATCCGGTCTGAGAGATGTGGCCGACCCATAGAAAATGCAGATCACATGCAAAATTCTAAATTAGCGTTTACAACATAGCTAAACTAGTTCTAAAAAGAAGTACACGTTATTCGCAGTTTGCCGGCCAGTGGTTTAGTAAAATTTCATTTAAAAAGGAGCAGACACGGCACTCGATCATATTCATCTGAGACACAACGTTCGGAACAAGAGACGAAATTAGGCAGCCGTTATATGTCGTAATTGTAGCGCTGTACTCAAGGTAGACCTTACAACAGACTATCACACCGCTCTCGGAATTGATATACGGAAATAAACATAGAATGAATTCTACATTACGTACTCATTACAGATCCAGAAGATCACATACAAGTGCGATAAACAGAATAGAGCTCAAAATTGAAATCCTGAAAGTGGCTACGATAAGTAGTTGGCCGTGAGGAGGTGTCAGCAACCGGGACAGCACCAATATACGCTTACTGGATTGTAACCAAAACTGAAGCAGAACCGTATATTCGCGGGTTTTATTTATCCTAATTTCAGCGAGACGTACCAAGATAATACTTTACAGGGTTTAAATGATTTCAAATGACGATTTTTGGATGATTTTGCTGTTTTCCGACATATTTTAAGGCCATGACTGCAGCAGATAATAGCTAGTTAGACCAAACCAACAGGTGGCTGGTCATTTCAGTATTTCGGTAATCCCAGAGGAAAACCGTCGGGTTGATGCGCTTGATCGCATCTATGCATATTACCCATTTGTAATGTTTTTCTCCCAGCTGCTCATAAACTACATAGCGCAGCCAAGTCCGGAAGAACACCAGACGCGTTTCGCCCCATTGAGGCTCCTCAATGGTGCGCGCGCCCTCGGTCCCTTCCTAGGGATCGAACCCATGACCGCTAGAGGCAGATGCCAACTAGCCAGCCGCTAAAGCCACTGAGCCATGGGGGACGTCGGACAGGCTACAATTTGCAAGCTAACTTGGATATAACAAGATCTATTTTCCACTGCCACGCAGGTTATACCTTAGCAGATGAGTGGTTAGCCTCCGAACGTCATGACTTCCTCTCACTAGACGCTACGTCTATAGCATTTGAAACTAGGAGAGGCTAAATTTTATATTATTAATGAGTATGAGAAATTTGTTATTGTAATTACGTCACAATTACAGATAAAATTTCTCTTACTGATTAGTAAAAATTCAATTTTTTTTAATTACAAATGCAAAGCATGACATCCCTGAAAGGATGCAGACGCGGCAGTTCCACTAACCCGTTTATGGAGATCTACGGCGTAGCACACAAACGTAACGGCCCACAATAAGGTTATAGCAACTTGGGGTTCACTGACTTATAGTTCATTTAGATTGGTTTCCGACCTCTGGATGTCTAGAGACAAGGACAGCAACTCAAACGTCGAAGTGTAGGAGGCCCCGGTGTGCTTTTTGGTACAGTCAAACATGCCTAAGGCGACCACTCAAGGGACCAACAAATAGTGGTCGCCTTGGACAGGTAGTCGCCATGGACAGTTTTATGCACAGGGACATTATTCATAGGAGAAAACTTTGGGGATCCAGGGGGCATTTGGTGTACCCGCTGTGTCATTGGATTGCGATTCGCAATCTCTATTCAGACCTTTGTCCTATTTGAGTAGACCACGATCATTACGATCACAAGAACCTTAACCGAATTGGTGGTTAGGTGTTGCCCCTCCCAACCCTGACACCCCATAACCGGTTTCGTCCAAATTTGAACTCATCAGATGGAGATAGCCTGAGCTGGGGTGGGCCTCGAGGCTTAGTGTTCAAAGGTTGACGCCTTGACCACTATGGCTCCTAGGTCCGCGAGCAACGCTTGACACAGCGGTAAAGAGTTCCAGGTGGCATTTGGTGTACCCGCTGTGTGGTTGAATTGGGATGTTTTTGGATTGTCGCCAGAGACGGGTGGTCGCCATAGCAGGTTGGACTATACAACAAACAGGAACCTCATTGGGCGGGAGCTTATTTCGTCCTCGGAACCTGACCTGACCTACCCCAATTAGAATAGCCCACACTTTCGTTAGAAAAACAGCGATCTTCAATTCTTCCGCAAGTTTCATCCAATAGAGCTTCCCAACAACCTAAGTCCATCTCACCATATGATCGATCAGAAATTAACTGACACAAATCGATTAGGCAAGATGACTGTTCCGATGTTTCGGTCAAAATAATGGAGGTCCGTATACTTGTGCTCCAAATGAACCACAGAAGTCACCAAATGAACGGCCAACAATGCTCCTTCAGTGCTTATTGGGTGAAAGTGATTAGTCTTCTCAAGGTGAAAGGGGGATTTCCTTATCTTATAACAAAGGTTGGAGAAACATGGACTGCTAAAGAGGCAGCAAATGCCCTGCAGCATCAACCCGCACAACAATTCAATGTGTTCCGTGATATCCATAACCCATTGATACGTACTGGGACATGAACAAGACTTACCGTCACTTTATGGCAGACGTTGTGATGAGTAAGATATTTTCTATGCGCCCATACATCTCTCCCGGAATTGATGCGATTCGACAGAAGACGCTTACCGTAGAAGCTAAGGAACTGGTTAAACCCATGGTGCCTCGATGAGAAGCATGTTCCAACAGCATGAAAACAGGAAAACGTACTCCAATTTAAGAAATAGTCAGTCGTTACGACTCAGCTAACCGCCCTCCAGTGATTGTTCTTCCATTTCTTTCAAATGCCTTAGAGGCTAACAATGCTGACGCTCTCGTCTTACCTTGACGAACTTGGTTACATTGTGTAACTGCAACGTGACCTCAGTCGGAACTGATCGTGCATTACCAATCCCTTGTTGCTTGGGACAGTTGGACCTCAACAGTGGACGTTGGCTTGAAGAATGTTATGTTCTATCACGAATTCTCCGAGGCATTTGACCGGTTGAATCCTTGCATTCAGCTGGCCCAGCTTCATAGATACAGCATTGGTGATCCTACCCTATGGTGGATCAACATCCTGCTCATACAGAGGCGTCTGGAAGTAAAAGTTTTCGAGTGTGCATCAAACCCTCTACACGTGGACAGCGGTATGCCACAAAGTTCAGTATTTGAGCCGTTTGTTCTTGATCTTCATTAATGATCTAGTGAGCTTAATCACTTCACACATTGCTTTCCGCCGTGGATATCCAAATTCGGAGGCCGATCAAAGCTCCAGACGACCGCATACAGTTTGAAAATAATCTCGGCAATATTCATGAATGGTCAATCCATAATGGCCTTCAGTTCAAGGCAACCACACGCCGAGTAGCCCATCTACGACACCAACTGGTTCACACTTATAAGATAGGTGACCAGAATCCCAAGCAATACTCTCGGGAAAAAGATCTCGGTGTACCGATCCAGGAAAACTTTGATTGCTCGGAGCAGTCTGCACTAGCATCAGAAAAGAGCATCTAAAACTTAGGACACTTAAAGATAGCTTTTGATCACTTTTACTCAGCTATTTTCCTTGGTTACTTTCTGCATACATACATCCGCATGTGGAATATGTTATACAACCATGGTAACCACGGCTGAAGGAAGATCTCACCATAATGGAAATCCCCGAACCTTGGGTCACCAAAAACATAGAAGGGCTATGCCACATACATTACCAACAGCATCTGATTATTTTGGGAATTTTCAGTGAACATTATCAAAGTTTGTGCGGTGACCTTATTACGGTTTACAAGTTTAAGAAAACCGATTCACTCGTGCTATCAGCTGCTAAAAGTCAGCTATAACAACAGACTTTGAGGTCAGTGTACCAAAGTGGCAGAACAATATCGCCGGCTGCAGTGTAGAGGAAATTTTTCCTCGCTGCGTGTTTGCCGCATACAGAATTCCCTCCCAGAACCAGTTATTTTAACCCCTACATTAGCTGTGTTCAAACGTCGTGTCGATAATGAGCTGGTCGCGTTATACGCCATCATACGACACAGGAAATATAATGTACTGCTCAGGTGCCCAGCGATATACGAACGCATCAAGATGCAATCACGCTGGTACTGTACATAACTTAAATCACCCCCGTGGTAACGATTAAGCCCATTGTGACTGGCGTCCCCTCCCGGTACTCAATTATTTGGTCAAGGAATACAAATGGAACCTCGAACCCATTAAAACTAAACTGCATCGATTGTCCAGGCGTCGTTGGTTAGTGTGTACATTAGTTAAACTATGGTTGCTAACAATAGCAAGGTGGTTGAAACCATACCGTTGTACTACGATTGAATACATGGTTTCTATAACGGAAAGCTGCACCCTTAATGCAGCGGTTATGCATTACTTTTATCGCTTATGGCATTAAACGACCATAAGACCGTAAGGGATTACTTCACACTGAGAAACCATAGGAAGCGTTGTCTGGTACAGGCATTAAGTGAATTTGCGCAACGTCGGTTCACGGTAAACAGAAGGCAGAATGCACATCTTGCTGGTTCCCTGATTGGATGGTTCGAACTTAGGGGCTTCTGTCATTCTGTCATACGAGTTGATTATGCGCTTTATATATGCTTTGTCAAATTCAGAAACGAGAGATGCGTGAATGTAACAAGCATTCCCGCTTCTTATGCATAAATGCAAAGTGCACTTGGAAGCAATTGAGAAAAAAGCAGGACAGAGCAATGGATATACCGGATATCGTTGCGTAGACACCTGCCCTTTTTCAGTGAATCATACACGCATACGTCACGAAGCAACGAATCGTGTTCCGGTTGAGTGGATCTATCGGCGTAAGTATGTCTATGTGAGGTTGATACAATTAAATAAGTAAGGCGATTTGCTGTTTTCCACTAGATTCCTAAGAGAATTCACGGCAGAAGTTTCATCTGGTATCATGTCATCATAAGAGGTTTCTATAACTTGGCAACCATTACGACCTAGAAAAACCAAAATGAGTCAATCCTGGGAGTCTCTCAGAGCCAGTAATAGACATATGATGCAACTGGAAGCGTAGGCCATTGATGGGCACAACATCCTATGAAGGGAGTAGAAATCACGGGTTGTGCAAGCGGAAATAGTTCATTTGCGTGCGCTTCACATACAAGCATATGGGGGTTAAAGATTGAAAACAGAGTGCACGGTTGCGAGTGCATTGAAGGATAAAGTGCTTACAATGTACTAAATGTATCTAAAAAAAGTTTCAACAAATGGTCATATCCGAGTGAAATTAACTGTATTATCTCCGTTGCAGCTACCTGGAAAGTGAATCTGGTCGCATAGAACAGGCACTTGATCGCATCAGAAATCTGGCAAATATACTGTGCACACTTAAGCGGTAAGCTTAATTGTGGGGAACAATTTTCATTTTTTAACTGAATTAGATCATTGTTTCTTCAAGTTTAAAATAATGCATAGGTGATGGAATTATGCGATAGCCTAGGAAGAAAACATGTCGTTGTTGTTGTTCAGGATAGACATTGATCGATTAACGGATGCGCATTCCATTATCATGTACCCATTGACCGATGGTGAATCACTACTATCTCAGTCACGTTATGCATAGAAGATGCATTAGTAATTCAGCCCTCCGGTTTGGTGATCCAACGTTGTGTATGTGCATAACGATACTTCTGGCTGATATAATTCAGTTGGTTTTTTGTTCAACGGTCGAGCACAAATGATCAATGTAAAGGGTTAAAGTGTTTTAATGGAATAACCGTGGGTAGAGTACTCAATGTTTGAATAGCTAGAATTTGATGAGGGTGAAGCATTCGGTGAAATATGCCGTCAGAGAGAAGCGATTATCCCTTCAGCAAGTTCACCTGATTGGTTATTTGTGGCAAATGGCCCAAAACAAAAAGAATTTCATGGATACATCTAAAATGGTATGCTATCTCATTGTAGCTGGTGATACCGGCTGTAGATAGATATACTCTAGGTTTCGGTGGTCCTGTGACAAAGCATCTGTTCCAAATAATAATGAGAATCCTCGATGATTTAACCGGAGAAGTTAAGCTTTGTGCATGATGCACGTGTTCACATTTACCGTAGGCCTGGCAACCCAGATATCCAACAATGTCACACACAAAATGCCAGTTCCTAGAATGACATTAGACAGACATGACAGTGATCCGCCGTTCAGTGTTTTGCTTTTGATGTCTGCTTCAGTCTGCCATTCAACCCAGCCTGCTACCTCGCTATTAGTTGTATTGGGAGTACGGTAGAGTGCTAGATACATTCGGTAAAACGTTGGCAAATCCTACCCACATTAACAACGTGGCGAATCTAAACAAACAAGTTTATAAAGTACGGAATAGGAATGGACGGTTAACTGCTTCCCCGTATGACTTGAGATCTCCTTCGTGATCATTTGGAATCGTATCCTCTTGATGAGCAGGAACACCCCATTGCTATAACAAATTTACTACGAAGAAAAAACGCTATTTTTGCAACCAAGGATTTGTCAGCTATCTGGGTACACTCACCCAGCAAATTGTTACATGATACGTACTCTTTAGTCCACCGTCACCCCCATGACCATTAGCATGCAGATCCATAGTACATCGGAATGCATTAGTGCGACTGTAATGAGATATGTTCGACGCGCACCTCAGAGTTCAACAGGGACGAAAACCTACGAGACTGACTGTATTTGGTCCAACAAAATAGATTGGCGGTTTTGCACGTACCCGAAAGTATTATCGTTCTTTGGTCGAACATGATTTCTCGTATATGATGGATAGTTATCCCCTTCGCAGTCATCATCAACGCTCGCATGCCCGAACGAATATTTTATCTCTAGCCTCAGCTCAATTCAAGAAAACAGCGTTGATGAACACATCCCGACTATTAGAACGGTGAGAGAACCTACGACAGAAGAACGGAATTTGTTGATGAAGCAAATACAATCTCTTGCCCCTGATCATCAAGCAAGGCTCAAGGGAATTCAGGTGAGTAAGCAAGATCAACCAATAAAATTCTATAATCAATATAACGTGTTTTCGTAATGTTTATAGCAATACATTAAGAAGAAGCAAATGCAACGATGTTTCTTCTAAAGCATGGCGATGGTAGATCACTGATTACACAAGTTGAGCAGACATCGTCCGGATATATGGTCACTGAACTGCTACTTGAAGTGGATCCACAGTCTAGGTCACAGCATTTGAAACGAATCATTACCCTATTCTGTTCTTGAGCGAAAACGCATTTTGATGAAATTGCAGTCGCACAGTAATGTCATCAAGTACTTATCCCATTCATCAGGATTGATGGGGTCACGTAAAGTCCCACAGTAAGCGAATGAGTTATACCATTCTCATCAGCTTTTCCAACTCTCCAGTGGGAACTATGCCGCACCTCTCGCCGTGGAACACTGAAATATAGATTGCATAGTACATCCCAAATGGCAGAAGAATCATCACACCAAAATTCCTGCCGAATTAGTCGGACAATGAGAATATCCTAGATAGCTCTGGAGACACACTAACATTCAACTACTTAGATGGGAAGCATTCTCCCCACTGTGCTTAGATTTGGAGCGTATTGTTCATACTCCCTAAAGTGACAGTGCAAAGTAAAACAACCGCTTAGCGCACAACTTGACTCAGATCAAATAGCAGCAGCAAGAGAGTCATAGTATTTGACAACGTTAAAGACAAGTGACATTGTTGGAGATGAAAGAACTGTCGTAATCATATAGTTGAAAGTGAAACGGGTGCTAATGCTGGCAACGCAATTAGCGCTTAATAGGTGCAAGTAATCACAGCGGGCATTTTTGTGGATACTGGTTAGCAGTTGTTAAGTTAACGTATGAATAGTCAGATACTCCTCGAAGTCCGCTGCACCGAAAAACTTCGAATCAGATACAAACATCGCTTAGCTGCATGGGCTCTTGCCTTCGTCATGGGGGCAGCGCACAAATGTTTAGGCCAATATAGCCCAAACATCCCAATGCGGATAGCCAAAGCGCGACTAACGACAGCCTGGCACTGTCGGTTCATACTAATGACTAGGATCCAAGTAGGAAGTTCCAGCAACTGCGAAAGTTAAGTTAGTGTCAGCAATGCATGAAAGGAGCTGATCACTGAGCGTCAAAACATATGGGTATATTTAGATCTAATCGGCAGTAATATTAACCTACACGAATCTGTGTTGCGTAAAATGGAAATTCATATGAATATGCATACTGGGGATTCACCTAAACTTCGACCACGCTCAACCACAGCAGCACTGCGCCTGACGGCCAATATATATCCAGGGGAGTATAGAGACGTGCTACGGGTGATACTTGAGCAACGCGCAATACTCCGAAAATTACGGGCCTCAACTTAGAGATTGTCATCTTGAAAGGCTATGGATTAAACCACCTGTGGTGCCAATTTGTAACGATTTAACATGAGTGTAAACAGTCGACTGGGATGGATTGATGATATAGAGTAACAGCTGCTTCGGTTTTCACGCTTAGATCAGTGTTAAAGCACTCTTTCTTCACGGTGAAAGACATACCTCTGCTACGTTTCTGCATTGATCATGGAGACGCTGCCCTTTTTAATGGACAGGACGAGACCTCATCCTTTTGTATTTTATTCACATAAAATAGGCGTGAGTTTGATGAAGGTGGAAAATGGTGCTGTTGTCCTGTTAACCACGCCCACCGTAATCATATGTGGTCACCCAAGCCAGCAAATCCCCGCGGAGTGAAGGTATCTAAGCAAAGATGGCATCATAGCTACCTTATGTGCTGGTAATGTTACTGGTGTATGAAATCGGAGTGAACAGACGGATGCGTCATATGAAGTGAACAACCCGGCGGATATGATCCTAGCAGACTCGTTGATTTGACACACCAAGTTGACATCTGAACATTTTACAGTGTGTTTGTCTGGGTAAATCAATGGATGAACCTAGTGGATTGAGCAACCTCGTTATACATGGCATCAACCTATTTACATCACGACGAATTGTCTACCAACTATGTCGACATTTGATGATGAGGTTACTTTGCCGGTTAAACTCTTCTCTCTGTAGGACCAAGATTTACCACAGTTAACACTAAATTGCCAGAAGTCTCTCCGGTTTAGTCATTATAGTGGTCTGAGTGAAGATCACAGGAATTAGATAACTGAAACCTATGCCAGATAGGAGGAGGAGTCAAACCAGCGCATTACTAGGATAGAAGCTGATTGGGCAAGGCAGTGATAATAAGTGACCTCTTCTCATACTACACGTACACTCTTTTAGCGTCCGTTCACTTCTGCCTATTATTCACGGGTTCTCAAGGACAATCTTGTAAAAGTGCATTAAACTCAACTGGCTTCACAAGCAAGCTGCTGTGAACTTCTTTGACAATACTTATCTACAAGGCTCTCCGCGCTACTGCAATCACAGCACGCTAACAATACCGTCTGGGCTAAACATTGACAAGATATTTGGATCCGATAAATTTGTACTCGTAATATCCTTATCTGGATTACCAAGCAAACTATTCCATCTACAATTGACATCAAAATAAGACATCCTCTCTACTCAAACCCTTTCTCATGGTAATTATACACCGTGATGATCGCAGATAAGCCAGAAAATAGGAGCGAAACAATCAGTTGTCCTTGTGCATTCAGATGCGTCTAAGACATGTGAATGACGACCATGTGGTCTGACTAAGATTAATTGGTAAGGTCATGACGACGCTACACCAGTACGTCATGTGTTCTACTAATCGACTACACAAGTAACAATCGAATCGACATAATAAGTATTAAAGGCAAGATAAAAATACTACGCTACGAGTGGCTTCTGTGAATCTGTCGTCAGGCAAGCGGAGTTTGTGCTGATGCAGTGTGCTAAATACTTTTCAGGAGAATGTACCCCACGTTTATCTGGTGTGCAAATTGACAGAGCAGCTAATACGACGTGCTTTAGCGGCTAACCTCATCACGTTACACATAACTAGTTTCGAACCCAGGGCCGTCTTTAGTCAGAGCCCTTAAGCAGCATGTTGTTCTTGATTAAGACTGCTGTCATCTACCTTTTAACTATGAGCAATGTTTGGCAGATTTGTTTATATCTCTCCTTAGACCAAGTTGCGCGTATACAGTCAAACTCAGTCAATGCAGTGATCAGCTCAAGACATCGCATTGGGGACAACACATCTACTTATTCCTATAGAATTTGCCGACGTCCATTCAGTGAATAGCGTTAAAAAAACGATGTTGAGGGTCATTTTGAAGTATATGTTGTGTGGATGGAATGCGACGCGTAATCTCAAGATTGACCGCGATTCCCATTGAAGTGAACCTCGGTCTTTCGATCACGAGGACCTTGTACATGAAAATGACCCTCAACCTCGTTCATTATACCGTTGTGTCAAGCGTTGCCCGTGACTCGGTGGCTTAGGGGTAGCGGTCACAACCAACATCCCGATGGTCCCGGGTTCAAGGCCTGCGAACTCTAGTTGATGAGTTGTAATAATAACGAAACGCGTCATAATAGTGCAGTGTTTTCGGGCGGACAACACCCAGTTTCTATTTGCATCAGCTCCGGTTCTCGTGATCGAAAGAGCAAGGTTCACTCCAATGGGAATCGCGGTCAACATTGAGATTGCGCGTCGCCATCCATCCACACAACGTGTGCTTCAAAATGACCCTCAACATCGTTCAGTATACCGTTATGCCAAGCGTTGCCCGTGACCTGATGGGTTTGGGGTAGCTATCGCAACTATCATCCCGATGGTCCCGGGTTCAAGGCCTGCGAACTCTATCTGATGAGATGCAATAACATCGAAACGCGTCATAATAGTGCAGTGTTTCCGGGCAGGCGACACCCAGCGTTAAAATAACTTCACTCAAGTAATCGATCACCGTTGGATTTTTTTACATAAATGGGGTTCCAGACTGTAATGGGAATATTGGGACGTTGAAGGCGCATCAGCCTAGGTTGTATCCGGCTGATAAATATTCGGACAATTTCGTCGTCACTAGATCAAGAAGAACCAGAAGATAACTTTCTGTAAATAAAGTGAATCCTGTTAGCAAGAACCGTTTTATCTTGTATATCAATTATGTTGCAGCGTAGCAAATGTTGTCTCACCACTGGTGTCAACAACAGTAACGAGTGAAGAACCCCGTTACACTGTTGGTGCGTCTCACGTCACCGAATTTGGTACAGTAAAGATGAAGATGGCTCATGCACAACGTCCTGATGGCTCGTGCCGAAACAGTTTCTACAATAGTTCTGAATTGCAAGGATCTCATAGCGTAAACTTGTGTCCATTTCAGTTTCCAGAAGTTGTCCACCCGATGAACCCTAGAAATTCGACCTAACATGGTGAGCGTTGTTAAAAATGTTGGGGAATAGCCAAAACTTATTCCTAGACTATTAACTAGGATGCTGGATGCACCGCCAAGTGATACAGTTGCATAGTTTGTCTGACACCGAATGGATTGTCACCGATACCGATAAAACTCCACCTTCACTTGCTGCTATAATCGTTCAACCGCACATAATGTGTCGAGTAGTAATCAAATTACTGAGTTAGAATTTCTGGGGAGTGTTAGGTGATACGGTAAGTGCATGTTCAAAAAATGCGCGCTCAATTAAAACGAAATCCCTTGATTGATTTAGTCTCTGACATTCACCGTGAGTTTGTTCAGTAAACACTTGTTAGCGGTGTCTAGGTTGATGAATGCGAAAGTGGCGGTTTTCAATCCACTTACTGTCCCCATTGGAGCAAATGACACAATAGCACGTTTTTCAGCCAGTCGCGACACAATATTTATGTTCAATGATTCGGTGGAGAGTTGACATTCAAGTTAAATTTTGATATCTTCACAGAAGGATACTGGCGAGAATTCAAACAAAGTAACTGATAAAAGTGTCTAGCAGTCTATACCCATATGGGAACCATTGAACAAAACACGTAAAATTAACTATAGTATGCGATCACGTTGTACATGTCGACAAGACCACTCAATTGGCCTGTGCCTCGCACTGTCGAGAAATAAAACGTTTATTTATTTATTTATTTGAGGAATTGTACTGTCTGGATTTTTTGAATTAGATATTGATAGACGACTAGCGGGTGGTTGTACAGCAAGTTAGCAATCTTTTCAGATTGACAGAAACATTGGTTTCCCTGGTAACAGCCGGGAAGCCAGTCGACACTCCTGAGAAGGTAACCGAGAGTAGGAGTGTACGATATCACTAATGTGGATGGAAACCAGTAATACATGACTTTATGATGTGTTGACCAATTAGATTCAAGAGCCCGAATTTTATTGGATGCAGTTGACCTAACTCAAGTTGACCGAGCATTAAATCAAAAAAATACATTCTAAAGAGGGAAAACATGAAAATATTTATAAAGAAAGATGGTGATGCAAACGTCAGTGGGTGGACGCATGACACTGGGTACTGGAATGTAAATGGTACCTTACAACTTCAACATTTTAAAATAGCCTGTGGATAGTATGGGAACATCACAGGAAAACAACGTGCACCAACTGACAAGGGTTTTCAGTCACAACCTTTATAAATTTTCATCCTTGCATCGGGTGGCTTGTGGCCAGTGTCATCACATGAGCAACGCCCAATCGATGACCATGAGAACAAAGCGGTGGTTGATGGTATTGAGAATATCGTGGGTCCGCTAAGTATCCGTTACCGCACAGAAGCATCATCGACCTGATTAGGAGATCGATGTTTTAAGTAGAAAGAGATGATTCAAGCAACGGACAAACACACTACTCTCATCGACACGCAAATCAAAACCGTCGATAATTAGACCGCTATAGCTGACAGCCTGCAAAGATGGACGGACCATACAGGAGGCGCGTCGACCAACTCCTGGAACACTGGCTTATATATCAAAGAGCCTGATCGCGGCTCTACTCAACAGGATATCATGGACGTTCATGTTTGAGCCTGATATTCCAGTTTTTGAGGCCACTGCTGATAAGTAAGGAAAGGGATCCATTTTCTGGTGGGATTACAAATGAAAACACACAGGATATGGCACCAATGACTAATTGGAGCAACGAATTCGGCTTCTTTCTCCAGTGTAGCGGGAATAAGTCACCAGATGATCTGCCGCATGGCAACAGCTCCCGTTTGACATTTTGACTAGGCATTAAAAAAGACGTTTGCAGTCCGTGCAAGAGTAGAAATAGAAATAAGCATGATAGTTTCAAAAATAATCACTGGGAGGGAACTTAGTTTGAAAATTCTGCCCTTCGCGCAGTATTTGCTCATCGTAATGCGGCCAGCAATTCTGGATTTTCATTTAACTATTGATACGCCGCAATCGCATCAATGCCGCTAATTATTTTTGTTTAATTGGTTTGCCTAGATCATCTTCTGGTTATTACACTGAAATACTAAGAAATGACGTGAATAACCAGTGATGGTGTCGCATTTGACAGATTCGGAGAAACCGATCCCCTTTAAGTCTGGCTGCTCTCTCTAAACAAATGAAGGTTCAAAATAACAAGTTGCCCAGAAACCGTATGCATATTTCGTTATTCCGGTTACACAGTTATAATTGGGATAAATCTCGTACCGTACGTAGTCAACACTGCGGAATACAACCGGACAGTACCCGATAAGTTCATTTTATGGCATCATTACATCCGACTGATCCACTGTTTCGCAACTAAATATTCGTTAGATAACACGCAAGTTGACCTAACTGCACCGAAGAATAGATCAGGCTCGCTTACTCCGATGTTACTCGTTAAATAATTGCACATATAGACAGCATACTATTGAAATTATCAACCAAAGTGCATCAGTTTTATGCCCCTGCGCAGGAACTAGACGCGTCGTGAAGCGAATCTTGTAAAATTACGGTGCTTACAAGTAGGCGAATCTACTGAGAAAAGCACTCGGTAAAAGAGCGTAGAATCAGCCGGTAACGTAGATTCGAACCAACCGTCATCAAATCCAGAGTCCATGTTGATATTTCAATTCACTTTGGCGAAATTGTTAAAAAATATAAGAATCACGAGATGTATAGATGTAGAATTGACCGCACTGTAGACTATCCATCTGAGCAAAAAGCTTTTACTCCGCTGTCTCCATATGGAACACACTGAAAGGTCAAATGAACCGTACAATCGCCCGCAGTTATCTCCTTGACGATACAAAGACCAGGAATGATGCAACAGATATGATAAGCAAATCGATCGAAATCTCTCAATAAGGAAAAAATCGAATGTGAGGAAGGTCAAAGTGGGAAATATGAAAATACTTGATGTGTGCTGTTACTGTTGATGGAACCGGTGTGGCATCTCCATTTTACGGAACCAATAAAAATTTTTAATGTATTCTCTTAACATAGTGTCATTAATATCGGTAGCTGTCACGCGGAAATGTTGCAGTAGGTAAATTTTTTTCGATCATTCGATACATCTAGGCAGCGAACGTAGAGTACCGACATGGGATTGTGGCATTCGACATTCTGATGGGATGAATTTCAGTAGGCCCATTGCAGCACTATTCATTAAACGGTTAGTATTAAAGCTGTATTTGACATTATCAAATTGCTTCAGTTCAATTACTTTTGCTGTCACATATATATACCATTCTAGCCGGAAATCAGCGGTGTGTACGAGACGCTGCAAAATTATGCACCGTTTACGTCACTCAAAAAGAGGCCAATGCATGTTTTTCAAAAAGGAGTATCGGTAAGACTTTAGGTGGAAGAGTATTGTGTACAAATGTGATACCATCAAGTAACCCACGTTATGAACAGTCTGAAGCCTTATTATAAGGAATGTAGACTCCAAATACGGGGTAACAGACGTCAATGCCGTCACGGAGCATCGACAACAGTTTCGTAGGTAATGCGACCTATCATTCGTTTCTGTAATAAATGTATTTTTAATCCCAACCGAGAATGAAGATGGCTTCGGGCTTTTGACGTTGAAACTGGTTGAACAATCTACCCATTTTGATTTGTCGACTTTAGGAGTCGGAAGAGATGTCAAGTATTCGCAAACGAATTTTAAAGTTAGATGCCACCAGAAAACTTGAGGAACTTGATACGATTCCGAAAATACCATATATGCTGTCTTTGAGCTCCGAGCATGATTCAGATACTCCAAAGTGCACTCCATTCCACTGGGAAGAAAATGAAGCAACCCACATTGAAAGTGATGACGTTCTGTTGACTAGTCTCCGCCAAGTGTATCGATCTGCATCTACCGGACAGCGTCAGAAAACAACCCACTCATCAGAACTCAATCCTGGTGACAATAGAGCGGAGCGAGGGACACCAGATGAACACAAGCCTACCAAAATGTCCAGTCGGCAGAATCGCCATTGTGTATGGGACGAGCATTCACCAAATGAACGACCGTTTCTTCTCCGGAATACGGTGAGTAGGTGAAAACTGTGGTCCTGTTTTGTGTACGATGGAGAGATCTACGTTGTTAAAAAGTTTTTGTTTGTGTCAAGCGTCCCAGCCCATATGGCAAAGGTAATGACCAGCGTACTTATGTAAGCTGAAACTTAGACTGAACGAGGGAGTTGACACTCATAAATCAGACGCGTCAGTAATTCCAAAATAAGATAAGCCTCATGTACATTTGTTAATATGTTCCGTCCATTTCTGTATCGTAGCTTGGCATGAGGTCTCGTTTAAGGATACTACAAGTGTAGAACATGAGGTGATAATCTGTGGTGAAAGCTGATGAAACTTGCGCCATGTCCGCAAGTATGTGGGCCGTCAGGAACCATTTAACCAGAAACGGAAATGTAAAAACCACCCGAGAGCAAGTTTTCGATAATATACATTAGGTGTTAAGTTAAACGGGTTAGTGCCGCAGGTATAGTTAACAATATGTACAAACGTTATAATCGCAACACAGGGGTATCTGGTAACCCTCGTTTAAAAGCAATGTAATATAATGAACACATAAACAAGTTTCCAGCTCGGGTACGTTGGCAACGTCGTGCGAAAAATACCATTTTCATTTCAGACTGGATACTTTATAAATCAAATTGGACACCGTTTATTTTAGACAGAAAAGCATCAATCTTTTAGCGAATAATGAGGTAATGCGACTGGATGATTTTCAGGCCACATCGCACTCACGCCACTGCAACCCAAAATGTGCAAGCAGCGGGCGAGTATACAAGCTCGTCTCTTGATCATGATGTCGTTCACCTCGATAAAACGCACTGATCTATTTTCCCGCTGTCTCTCAATGGGCCTTCGCCTATGTTATGTGGGCGAACCTATGTAGCTGTCCGTCTATCGGAACAAAACCCAGCCTAGCTTTACTAGCATTGCGCTGCACGAGCGGACCTAAATGAGTGACACATTAAGGCAACGACAATGAAACAATGCAACAATGGTTTTATACGGGTAAAAACGCTGTAGCTTAATAGGTCTCGCAGGATGATCATAATAAAAATACAAATTATAGGAAAAATTGTCAGCAACTTAAGGTCTACACCAATGAACTCATCACGGTATTAGTATGTAGAAATCCACTGCAATTCGAGATATGTTCGATAACACACATGTATATGTGTCTACACACGCACAGGTATCCGTTTAGACCGATTTCCTGAGGCCTAGAAGCCTAGTGCACAGAAATCAAAGCAGGTAATGCAAGTTATTGTACTGCATCGTCGAGTCGTTTTTACAAACTGACAGCGTAGGCGTCAAAATGACAAAAGTCGAAAGAGCGTTGCAGTAGTAACAAATACGAAGAGAAAAATAGTTCCGGCGGCATTCTAGCCGGCTGTATTGCGTAGCCAGTTTCAGCCGGTGACCCCTCTATTTTGTGTTGCAGCTTTATTGTAGGAGGTGGTAGCAAGCGTGATCGGGATATTTTTTAAGATCTGGGACGTCAGAATGAGGTCGTCCCGTAGACGGCGATAACTTCGCTATACACATCTAAAGTTTTCAGTCGCAGATGGCCCGGCATTTACAGCATTCCCTTAGCATTCTTGGTTTCCCATCGCCTAGCAGTATCCAGTGCAAAGTAAATCGCTTTTTAACTAGGGTTGCCAGGCCTGAAACGCGTACTCCACATGGGGCCTCATGTGCGCATTGAGCATTTGGAGGAAGATGGAGAGGTCGAACCGCCCTCCGTAAGAGACCAACATGTTGGTTAGTGGTTTAGGACGCCTACAAAGACTGTGTGGAACAGTCGAGGTCGTCTCGCATCACTATCCCAAGATCACGATCTTGTGAGGCGGTTTCCAACATGTGGTCTCCAAGCTTATATACGCAAGTGGCTTTGTGGCGTACATGCACAGTCAGGCACGTCCGCGTTAAACGGAAGTAAACTTGGTTTGCACCATTCAAAGGTACGGTGTAAGACTCTCTGCAGCACATCATGATCGTCATGACAACTGATATCCCGTCATATCATGATGTGATGGGCAAAAACAGGGACTTCGAATTGATGAGACGTGCTAAGCCGTGGATGAAGACCATGAATAAGCGCGGCCATAACACCGATGACGGTAATACATCGCAGTCCACGTCGATAGGATCAGAAAAGTAACCTCTAATCTGAACATGAAGCCGCTGCTGAAGCAGGAAATTTCCTGTCCATCCAAGGACGGGGTCCCAAATTTCGTACGTACACAGACATTGGAGAAGGATTCGGTGATCTAAGCGGTCGGAGACTTTAGAAAAGTAGAGGTAGATGACATCAGTGCCGGTCTCACTTTTCCCGCAACGACCACGCTCGCCTGATCGATGTGCGCCGCTCTCAAAGCTAGAAAAGCACAGAAGACCAACCAACCCACTGGGTCAGGTAATGGTACAAGGTTGAATGACAGAAATGCGAATCCGAAAAGGCTCCAAGTAAAAGGCATTTGCTGGTTAGCAGAATGTCATTGATTAGTTATAATATGTCTGGCTTTATCGCACTGTTTGGAATGCTATCATCCAAAATTCGCAAATCTGTTCCAACTACAGGTACTAGAGCGAAATAGCTCCCAAGATGCGCTTTGTTACTGTACTGAGTGCTCCACTATCCCACTCGTTAAGTGGTTACTTATCCTAGTACAGAAGCGCGGCCGGTTAACCGCAAAAGCCGAGCAGAGGATAAACGATAAGATTACTTCAATGGAAGAGAGTATACACCACGGAAGCGTAGCGGTCTCTAAGCAACGGAATACTGTACAATCTGCTTCCCCTGAATCGCAGTCAGCCACGTCCAATCTCCATTGTCTTCCTCAAGTTTGGTAGACCGCCGGGCAAATACTGACCGTACCTAGGAGAGTCAAACAGTACTCATGGCAACAAAAATCAGGCACCAGTCAAAACGTCTGGTTAAGCAAATTCCACTAAACCTGACATCCAGCATTAACAAGAATGAAGCAGCTGAACACCAACCCTCGGTACCTGTGGCTCAAATGTCACTTGCCGAGACAAAGCCCCCCCTCCCCCGGAACATCCGTTGCATGTGCAGAGATTGCTGCAAAGGTCAGCCGCGAGGCCGTCGTTGTGACCTCTTCTGTGATAAACACCGTTAACGCGAATAGAGGAACAAACAGTAAACAATCAACACTTGTCAGCAGGTCAGGAAAAATGAACAAAAAAGGGATCCAGCAATAGTGCCCGGACTGTTGCATGCTCAAATGTCCCTAAATCTACCGCCATCACACTTCGGGATAAGTTATCTAACGACCAAGAACAATTTAACTCATTGTGCGTGCTGATGAGTGTCAAAGCCAAGTCCATAAACCTATTACGAATTACTCATCATCCAAACTCACCACACTATGGAGAACCCAGACTTATCCGGGTAACAATAGAATGCTCCACCGACGTAGAAAACGTTTTGCCCTCCGCAAGCTTGCTAAAACACGTATCCTGTGGAATACGCATTTATCCCGATGTCCCTTGGAGCGCGCGACAATCAAAAAGAAACACTGAAGAGGGACACAGCAATCAAGACCGCCTAGACACTATCTTCATATATGGCGTGCCAGGACATCCAGTTAACGATGTTCAGGAGACCGGAAAGCAAGATTTAGAACAGTGGCTGTTCATTCGTGAAACATTTTGCTTGCATAATATTGTGAGGTTATCGCTCACCGGGAGAAATCTGTTACCAAATTATAGAGGATGCGGCCGCAGAATCCTAAAACTTGTAGTTCAGTCAGATGGCGGAGAAAACGGAAAATTCTTCCTTCTGAACTTCGGTTAAAGGTCGCAAAATATTTGCACAATTCAAACAGAAAGGCACCTGAAGCAGCAAGTGTTTGACGATGACACAGATTCTTAACTTGACTGCTGCTTTATTTGACTCTGACAGAAAGCTAAACGAAGATTTGGACGCACTTTGGCGGAAGCAAATTACAGACGAGATATCATTATCCCAACAAAAACGAGTAAATTCCGGACACCCATCGGTCGCAATTCTTTCACACTTGACCCCATTGACCATCTGTGAGCTCCTAGAGACCGTGAAACTGACCTGCTCGTATACGAAATCTCATGGTCTTTTTAATAAACTGGCCGAACTGAAAAATCGCCAAGCTTCCGGGTCATATGATGTCATTGGTATCACCAAGACGTGGTTGCTCACGGGAATGGCGGATGCCGAAGTTTCGCTACCGGGCATGACGCTGATCTGGAACGATAGGCTCACAAAAGGAGGAGGCGTAATCCTGTATTACCAAAGCGACTTACAGTGCGAAGCCGTGGAGGATTTAGACTCGCACTTCTCCGAATCTCTTTGGTGTTGCTTGCAGTTAAATGGCAGAGACGCTTGCCACCTAGCGGCTGCGTCATGATGCAGTTTACAGCCAAAATACACTCACATACTTATCATGGGTGATTTCAACGTACATTGTGTAGAAACTCCTGCCACGATTAGAAAACAATTCAAAGCCGATCTACAAGATCTTGAACCAGTGTTCCTCTTCACAATCACATTACTTTGCCCACTCGGTTCAGAACAGGTAACAGGCCATCTGTGTTGGATCTTGTGCTTACCAACCCGGAGCATATGATTGATGTGTTGGATCGCAGGAATCACGTAGTCATCAGTTGCAACTTTATCTGCTATGCGGAATATTGGAATGTGAACGGTGAGAATGTGCGAACCATCACAAGCTACGATCGATTAGTCCAGCTCGTCAGGGCTACAACTTGGTTGTTCCTTGCCGAAGAACTCCCGAAAATGGCCTGGCTCGAGTTCTTAAACAAATTCAGTCGGCTGATTACAGAGACCTCAGAGATAAGTGTTTGCAATAAGTCCAAATCATTTTCTTTCCTTAGAAGCGGAAATCGAAAATGGATGATAGTACGCAACGCAGCATGGCGAGTGTACAGAGAAGCCCCAGCACCAGAAACGTGGGACAACTACGTAGCCCAACGTAACCGCAGCACTCAACTGCTAA